CAGGTTTTTGGGGCTGTTTGGCCCTATTCTGGAATTTTTTCTTCCTAACGTTTCTCCAGTCTCTGTAGCCAGCCACAGAGACTGGTGAAACATTAGGAAGAAATACCTCCAGAACACAGCCAAACAGCCTGAAAAACCCACAACAACCATTGTCTTTACTTCTTTTTCCTTAATTTTCAATTTCTTGACATAATCCTTGCATTAACCTCACACAGGAGCTGCTAAGGCTGACAGGACAATGTGTAAAGTTATTAATTTCTCATGCATGTCATCTAATATAGATGTAAATGAAACCTCCACATTCAGAAGTAGTTTATCTCTGAATCTGATATGTGGGGGACAAATAACAGGAAATGACTCTTGCCATGATTCATATGCAAGGTTCAGAAGCATCTGACTGATCACTATTGGAAACAAAACACTCTGGTGTCTTGACATCCTTGTGCTTCTAATTTTATGCATAAAAACTGAGTCTCTGCTTCCTATTATGAACTACATCCACAGTTTAAATGGCTTTCTATGTGCTGAAATCTCTATAAAACCACTTAAAATTATATAAAACTTTTTTCAGTACCTGGTGTAGTTGTTTCTTTCTTAAACACTTTAACAGTTGCTCCATCTAAAATCTGAAAATGAATAAAATAGCTTCCCATAATATGCACAGTTCTACAAAACGTATAGACTCATTATACTTGACATATTCTGCCTAGGGATGTGCTCTTTCATGGTTTTGAACTGTAATCCCACAGAAGTTTCCAACAATTCCCCAGGCAGATTCCTGGAAGTTGCAACCCACAAACACAAATTTGAATATACTATAGATTCCACCCACTCACACACACCCCAGAAGGGCTCTGAGTTTATTTGCCATTGATGCTGCCACCACAGACTACCTTCTCCAGTCTGTGGTGCTTACTGGGAAGTGTGGTTTTTCAGCAGATACACTCTTATAAAGCCTCAGAGGTAGTGAGACTGCACCTCCTGGCACAAAATGGGGAAAAGCACAAGTATATTTTGGAGCAAGGCAGCAAACCAATGGGGAACTAGTCTGCTGTTGAAGACACTTATAAAGAGTATATGGTTTACCAAAGTAATACACCGAAAGGAAGTAGTAGCTCAAGAGGAGAAATAGATCATGTTCACCTAATGAATACATGCTGATCTGAAACAGGAAGTATACAGAAAAGAGAAATCTGAAGAACACACGAGGGGGTGCTGATAAGTATTGAGCCTTTCCCAGAAAAAACTGAGCTAGGAAGCTATAAATTGCAGTGTGTATTGGCCAATTTGTTTGTATTCAATGGTGCAAAAATCAACTACCTAGGGTTTTAACTTATCTTTCATGTTCAGGTCCAAAGTGAACATGGCAACACCTCCAGAAAAGTTCAATGTGGAAGATCATAGGACCATAATCAAGTTCCTGTTTCTCCAAGGGAAAGGTGCAAAGCAGATCCATGATGAAATGTCACAAACTATGGGTGACAGTGGCCCTTCATATGCAACAGTTAAATGTTGGGTTGTCAATTTTAAAACTGGCCATTTCGGTGTTGAAAGCGAGAAACCCAGTGGAAGGCCTGTTTCTGTCTCTGTGCCTGCAAATGTGAAAGTCATCCACGACATGATCATGGAGGACCGCTGAATATCAGCCAAAGGTATTGCTATATATCTGAGAAGATCACGTGAGAGAGTTGGTGCCATTATCCACAATGACTTGGAAATTTGTGGAACATTTTGCAAGAAATGAGTCAGATTTCCTGGGCAAACTGGTAACTGGTGATGAGACATGGATCTACTGTTATGATCCTGAGACAAAGGAACAGTTTAAGGAATGGAGGCACAATGGTTCCCTCAGGCCAAAGAAGTTCCGAGTGCAAAGGTTGGTGCAGAAGCAAATGGCAACAGTTCTTTGGGATAAGAAGGGAGTTCTGCTAGTGGACCACCTCCAACAGGGTTCAACCATCAATGTAAAATATTACTGTGCTTTATTGATCAAGTTGAGGCAAAACATCAAGGAAAAACTTTGAGGCAAGCTCTCCAAACGTGTCATCCTGTTTCATGACAACGCCTCGTCACACACTGCAGGTGAAACAATGGCAAAACTGACTTCCTTAGGCTTTCAAGCGATGCCCCATCCACCCTATTCTCCCGACCTGGCTCCTTCTGACTATTATCTGTTCCAAGATCACCTAAAGGGACAACGATTTGGAAGTGTTCTGGAGGCAACTAACGCTGCAAATGAGTGGTTACACTAGCAGTTGGAAGAATTTCATTTGCAGGGACTTAAGAAGCTGCAGGACAGATGTTGCAAGTGCATTGATTTCCTGGGGGGGATATGTAGAATAGTGTGGCAGTTACAGCTTCCTAGCTCAATTTTTTCTGGGAAAGGCTCAATACTTATCAGCACCCCCTTGTACAAAGCTGCTTTTTCCTATCAGACCACTGTCCCTTTCTGGAAGTTCTCTTTCCTAGCTGTGTTACTGTTGTCCTTTAAACCGAAATGGCAATAACCACAAGCAAGAAGCTTGTGTATGCATCATACTGTTATTACTGTACTTTCTCCAGATTCCAAAAAAAGAATAGTACAAATTGGAAACAGGGAAGACAAAATATGAAGTATGGTTGCGAAGAAACACAAGGGAAATAGGAACAAAAAATTGCATTTACACGACTGAGTGTGCTAGGGAAGAAAACACTTCATTTGAATACCAAACAATGCCTTGCATCACATTATCAGACTGAAGACACAAGACTGGCACTGCTGCAGAATTGAGCAGGAATTTGTGTGGAAACAGTTGTGTCAACAGATTTCATTTCCCACTGTTAAGTGATATACTTTACTGAGAAAGAGGTATGTTGTTATGTGCTACCAAGTTGTATCTGGCTTATGGTGACCCTAGCAGGAGGATTCCCTACTGTAACACTTTTCAACCAAGTATGCGCAGAAAAGCATCTTGTTGTGGAGTCACAACCATTTGTAGCAAGAACAGGTGATCACAATGAAGCTGAGGGTCATTTTTCAGTTTTGCCAGCAGCTTGGTGGTGGTGGTGGGGCTGTGATCAAAGAGACTAATTTTCATCATCATCATTGATAATGATAGTAGGTTTTTGATAACTGAAAAATTGGTGTTACTTAAAACACTGATTTTCTTTCAAATCAACCTTTCTTACACCCTGTAGTGACCCAAAAGATTCTTAAAATTAAATTGGGTGTTCTAGTGGTCTTGGGGTGATGAGCTCCCAATTAGTCTCTTGGCACTAATGGAAGTGGTACACGAACGAAAGAAAGAAAGAGAAAGAAAGAAAGGTCTTGGCACTAATGGAAATGGTACACAAACGAACGAAAGAAAGAAAGAAAGATTCTTTTCAGACAGACCACTTGCATGCACCTAAGCTTGGATTCAATCCCGTTTATGAAATCCAGGAGTAAGTCACAACTAGAGTAGGCCCATTGAATCAATGAAACGAACAGAGCTGACTCATCAAAGCCCCACTGACTGAATGGACCTACTCTGCTTGAACAGAAGAGTTGACTCATCAAAGCCCACTGACTGAATGGACCTACTCTGCTTGCAATTTACTACCAGATATCAGTCAGTATATTCAAGATTATTTACCATGCAATATCTTTACTACAAAGAAGAATCTTCAACATATGAAGGATCTTTATTCTTACCTCATAATGGCCTACGGTGTTCAGCTTGGTAATTCCACCTTCTAGAATTACAGAAGAACTATCTACATCCAGAAGTTCTTTTGTTTGTGGACCTGACTGAAGAGCTGCCAAACAATTACATTGAAAACTGTTACCAACATATCATCCTTAGTGAAGGCAGAGTGAGTTAATCCAGAGTAGTTAAAGTAATACATTATGTCAGGCAAATTGCACAAGTCTATCATATCATTTTACCTACTACAATTCTTACAAAAGGATTGCCTGCACAAAGATAGCTGGATTCATGCAATGCATGAAATCATACCTATTTTTTTCAGTACAGCTCTTGTCCACCAATTTGTATATTAAGAGGCTTTATGAGTAACTACTTAGCTGATGCTGATGATGGGGCACGCACATGAAATCATACCTAATTTTTTCAGTACAGCTCTTGTCCACTAATTTGTATATTAAGAGGCTTTATGAGTACTACTTAGCTGATGCTGATGATGGGGCACTTCCCACTCCACTGGTGGTTATTCCCAATGCAACACTGGTTTGAATCCTGATGGCGATTTGTGTGTATGTAAGTTAAATTGTGGGAGCCACTGGTGCAGTTTAAAGAATGATGAGTAGGGCTCAGGAAATGTGGATTCAAATCCATGCTTTGTCATGGGAACTCATTGGAGGGGTAGCAATGGTAAAATCACTCATTAAATTTCTTATATACCTTGAAAACCCTATTAAGGTTGCCATAAGATGAGCATGTATCAACAAATTTAAATTGTATAACTCACCATGGTGAATTGCAGATAACTAATGAGGTGCCAGTTACACCACCAGGCATGTATTTGGCTGTTGCACAACTGGGTATGCACCTCGCAATGAACCTGCACTTCCTCATCAGCAGCAATTCTCTGTGGTGAATTATGGAATTTAAAACTTAATGCACATGTAACTTACCAAAAGGATTCTTTCATTTTTTTGTTAGAGAAACTGCATTCCTTTTGCTCAGTCTCACTTACTAGTTTAATCATACAACATAATACCTTAAATGGAATCCACAAGACACACTAGATTTAACATTAAGCTGTTAAGTCTCAAATATTCATCTATTAATAACAAATGGAGAAAAAATTAAAAAGAGCAAAATACATAACAATGCAGTTTAAAAATTATTGCTGTTCAAGGTGTACACAAAGCAAAAGAAATGCCTAATTACGATTTTTTGACAAATCTAGGGCAATAGCAAAGCCTTACCAAGGCCCACTTCACTCAGCTGCAGACCATAAAGAGAGCCATTCTTGTTTAAAAAGGCTTGGAGAATCTTCTCCTTGGCTTGCCCTATGGTGTCACAATCTAGGACATTAACTTGGATATTCTGCATCGTGCCTTCACCCTCATTTTCTTGGATTTTTTCGAAGACAACATTTAATGTCTAAAAGAAAATGTTAAAAATTTTACATCAACTTGAAGGCCACAATCAGACTGTTCACACATTTATGCAAATCGTTATAGTAGCAAACCCTGTATTACATCAAAGAAAATCAATATAAAGGTAGTTTGAATGTAGTGGTTTGAATATTGGCACTTGGGAGACCCAGGTTCAATGTCCCTTCTCAACTATCACTGACTGATCTTGGCCAGTCACTCTAAGCCTAAACTACCTCAAAGGGCTGCTGATCAATTAACAAGGAAAGAAGTCATGTACCATGTCTTGAGCTCCTTGAAAGTTAGGATGTTATTCAAGTATAATGATTAATATCTAGTGGCCAGAATCCTATAACTTATGTCTGCTGGCATAAGTTAAGCCATATAAATCACAGTAGCAAGCTGCTATTAGTTAAGGAAGCAAGGCTTGTTGTATCATTTGGCACATGACAAGGAACAAGCCTTGATTCCTTAGCCAGTGGCAATTCACTACTGGGTTTAAAGTGGCTTAACTTACATTGGTATACTGTAAAAGGATTATGGCCAAAAATATGCATCATGAAAATGTAATGAATACAGTAACTAAACAAACATAAATAATAATTGTCTATCAATATAATATTTTCAGACCTCATATTTATCTACTGAGACCGTGTGCTGTGTTTGGGCCAGAGAAAACAGGATTCAGATCTCGTCCTCATGGACATTCTGGGCTGTCTTAAGGAGAGAATTTGTTAAAACTAATGCCAAACCAGAGGTGGGCAAATTGCAGCAAATGGTCCACAGGAGGCCCTGTTGCAGCCCTCTTAACACCAGCTCTATATTTTTAAAAAAACCTATTCTAGATTTCAGCCTTTCAGAAGTAGGAATAGCTATCTGGAGCCATTCCCCTCTCTTAGCTCCAGCTTTATTTAGGCCCATAGAGGCCTTTTCCAAAAACTGAAGTGGCTATTAGGAGGTAAGAGGGGAATGGCTTGTAATAGCCAACTGCAACCCATAGAGAGCCACAGTGGATATAAAAAAAGGAAGAACACTGGGATACATGACGGCAAAGTGCAGTAGCAGCTCTTGAGGTCTTGGGGGATGGATGCAACCCTTCAGCCTCTGGAATTTGCCTACCTCTGCTCTAGGAGCCTCGTGGCGCAGTGGTTAAACCTCTGTACTGCAGCCGAAACTGTGCTCACGACCTGGGGTGCAATCCCAGGTAGCCGGCTCAAGGTTGACTCAGCCTTCTATCCGTCCGAGGTCAGTAAAATGAGTACCCAGCTTGCAGGGAGTGGTGGCAATGTGTAGCTTGCATAATTAACTTGTAAACCTCCCAGATTTTAAGCGCTATATAAGCAACTGGCTTTGCTTTTGATTTAGACCACTATATAGCTATATGTGTCAGTCAAGCCTGCTTTCCCTTCCCCTCCCTTGGTTCCTTAAGTGTTTTATTTTAATATTCAATTATTGGAAATCTTGTTTTTAAAGCATATCATCTACCAATTATATTAAAGTTGTTGTATTTCATCAGGATTCTTTAAAATTTAGCAGTTGAGTCCTGTTGTTTTAATGTTCTATTTTTGTATTTCACCCTAATACCATACTATCCATGGCTAACATTTAAGTCCTTGAAAAGAAAAGAACGAAAGAACCCTTCCAACGAACAGGAAGACAAACATGATAAAAGATAGGCTTAAGGTATACTTGGGGTACTTGCTGCTGTAAAAACAAGCTACAATTTGTTAAAAGTACAGGTACATCAGTTCAGAATAATGTCCAAAAAGACAAATACCACTGCCAGAATATTGTGGTGTTGTTTCCTCGCTAACTACTACTCAAACATAACCACCATCTATTAACAATTCATTCATTTCTCAATAACTGATTCAAACAGTTCATTCTAATTACTTTAACGTACAGGGATAACAAACCATAGATACAACTGCATGGATTCTGCTGAGAAGCTATTTATACAAAATAAATAAATAAATGAGATCATATTATATTACAGCATTCGGCTGTATTCTGCTTTAAATAACAGATCATAGATCAGAAGATATATTCATTAGAATGTTAGCTGGATTTTGATTTGTAGGGTGTGCATGAAAGACATACCACTGTGCTAAATTCAGTTACTTGCCATAGTAACCAGTCTTCATTCAGTGTATATAGAGCCTTGGAAGTTATTACATCCACAGGACCCTTGACCATCTTTTGATTGAGGGTAGTCACAAGCGAATAGAATGATTCCCCAACTCTTTCCTAAAAAGAAAATAAAAATAAGTTGCATTTTGCTTGACTATCATTTTATCATTTTTCTTATGGTTTCACTGTATATCATAAATTACCCCTGCCCAAGTTTACTGTGGTGTGAAAGAAAACAAGAAAAATGTTGCCAAATGTGCCCTTGTTTAACCAGAAGCCCAAATCTGGTTCAGCTAATTTGTACTTCTATGTAAAAGAAAAAGCATGAGATACATGCACTGAATGTGCATTTATCTATTTATTGAAATGCAGATGTGGCGTATGTGAGCTAGAAAGGTGCTGCCAAATGCTGCATCCAAATATTATTTATTTGTTTTATTATTATTAAAAATATTTTTACCCCACCTTTCTCCTTAAAAAGGACTCAAGGCAGCTCACATAACTAAAAGACAGTATTTAAAAGCTAAAAAAAAAAGTAAGTACAGTATATGGGTATTTAAAATAATCAAATACCACACTAAAAATGGTAAACAAAATCAACACCAAAACTAGATTCAAACAAGGCACAATACTCAATTTAACACACACACCCCAGCCAGTCATTCAGTAAAAGCCTATCTGAAGAGAAAGGTCTTTGTGTGGTTAAATAAAGACAGCAGAGATGGGGCCAGCCTGGCCTCCTGTAGGAAGGCGTTCCAGAGTCTGGGTGCAGTGACAGAGGTCTTCTTCTGTGTCCCCCTCAAATGCTCCTGTGAAGTTGGTAGGACCAAGAGAACCATTATAAATGCAATGAATGATAGGGGAAGTGAAGCCCTCTAGACAGCATTAGCCTGGACCTCCCACTATTCCTAACCACTGCCTAATGCTGGCTAGGGCTGAGGGTTATTGCAGGAAGAATGTTTGGAGGGCTCCACTTTGCCCTCCCTTGACTGAGTGGAGCAGGGCTATCTTACAAATTATGGTTTATATAATTTTTTTTTCATATTTCCTATGAACATTTCTATCAAGAAAGGCATTTCATTTCCTCCCCAAACTTCCCTTCATATAACTATTCATCATGTCAGTTTAAAGATACTAGGTATTTCACACTTTCTAACAAATTCCATGGAGACTGACTTTGCCGGACTTGACTAGAATAACCACAGTAGGGGACTCAAGTTCACATTGCGAAGTCAAGGAACTTACCATAAAAGCATTTTGCAAACAGAAGTTAAAGCATGAAAATGAACCAGTATTATATTCTTTAGTCATAAACAATGAAAATATATAATACTTGCCCTTAGAAAACCAGAGAGGCAAACAGACATCCAGTTTGTTAGCAACTTTTCTACTACCGATTCTGTACGTCTTAACATCAGTTTTGGTTGAATATTGCTAGACTGGTCCATCAAGTCTCTTGTCAAAACTTCCAGAATGCTGGTTAAGTAGACTAGGTTTGTTTGTAGTGCAATGGTCAGGAAAGATGCAAACAAACATCTGTCATAAAGAGAATTATAAACTTAATGGCAAAAGAAAAGGAAGTTGGGGGTTCCAATATAAATTAACATGTAATGTTATCTATATCTTTACAACAATAATATGAATTTAATTTACACATTGCTAGACAAACATCTTGCCACCACAAGGTCATGGAGATCAACTGAGAAAATAATAATAATACTGAAGCTGTCATATTTCTAGCAGAGTGGGTTGTAATGTGATGATGATGATAATAACAATAACAATAACAACAACAATAATGATGAAGAAGAAGAAGAAGAAGAAGAAGAAGAAGAAGAAGAAGAAGAAGAAGAAGAAGAAGAAGAAGAAGAAGAATGTGCTATCAAGTCATTTCTGACTTATGGCGACCCTTTCAAGGTTTTCTAGGTTAAAAGTATTCATTTTACCATTCCCTTCTTTGGGGGGCACCCTGGATTTGTGCAGTTTGCCAAAGGCCACAAAGGGTGGCTCTACTTACAGGAGATACAGTGGGGAATTGAACTCCCAGCCTCTGGCTCAACACCTAGATACCCAAACCAGTGAGCTAGAATTTCTGGAGAAGAGTATAAATAGCTCCCTTCTACAGATGAGGGGGGGAAAAAAAGGAAAATTAATTATTGAAAGACTTGGTAATACGATATGTCACCGAAAATATATAATTAGAATATGCTGTTTTGTCTGAGTACAGATAGTCAATACAACAAGGTATCAGGCCTGTTCTCTTCAGAGCAAAGTTAGCACAAAATAAACTACAATTACTGTCAAGTTCAAATATGGATAACAAGCAATCCTTCAGATGTGATGATCTGCAGTTTCTATGATTGTTCACTACTGTTTATGCTGGCTAGAGCTGAGGGGAAATTTTAGTCCAGCATTATTTAAAAAGTTCCCCACCAATGGTTTAGGGGTTGTAGGACCAACAATATACACATACAGATTACATACACAGTGTTTACAGATATACTGTTATGAAAAAGAAGCAGAGAAACCTCTGTAAGAAAGAAGTTAAGAAAGAAGCGAAATAATTCCAAGTCATGTAAGGACAGCTTCACTGATTGAAAAGAAACAATCCATCCAATGCTATTAAAAATAGGGCAGCAATGAATGAATTAGAAAAGATAATCAAGTGCAAAGATGTATCACTGGAGACCAAGACCAAGTTCTTCAACACTCTTGTATTTCCAATTACCATGTATGGGGGTGAAAGTTCAGCAGTTAAGAAAGCTGACAGGGAAAAAATTATTTGTTTGAAATGTGGTGCTGGAGGGGAGCTTTGCAGATACCTTGGACTGCCAGAAAGATGAACAAGTGGGTCCTAGAACAGATGAAACCTGAACTATCTCTGAAGACAAAAATGATAAAACTGAGGCTGTCCTACTGTCATGAGAAGACAGGATTCTCTGGAAATGGCATTAATGCTGGGAAAGGTGGCACAAAGGAGGAAAAGAGGAAGACCAAATGTGAGATGGATGGACTTCCTAAAGGAAACCACAGCCTTGAGTTTACCTAAGCAGGGCAGTTGAGGAGAGGACATTCTGGAGATCTCTTATGGGTTGCCGTAAGTCAGAAGCGACTTGACACTACATAACAACATCATCATCAACATGACAGTAATTACAAGTTTTACATATACTGTACAAGGAAATGCAGAAATATCAGTCTCGTATACAGTATATGCAGAATCTAAGACTCCCCCACCCCCAAATCTTGCAGTTTTGGGGGGGGGAGGAGCCTTATGTTCTTTTCAACTGGGTTCATCCACAGTAAATTATTATTTATGCCAAGGAATTATCTATTTATAAGTTGTTCCTTTTTACTGCAATATCATGAAAACTTTTAGTTTTATACTGTACCTATCTTTCACAGAGAAAGTTTTCTGCTTTTCAAGAGTGTGAATCAGGGTAACAAGAAAGTTCTTATTACAAATTAATGCAGACAATGCTGCCACGCTTTCATCCTTGTGACCTGGATTTGAGCTTTGTATTGTCTGAAAGATATGAATTATATGAGAGTTTATTTTTTTAAATGTGAGGCATATCACATGTTTAATTAAAGTTGCAAATACTATCTTGAGAAATCTGTAATAAGTACTCCAGCATTTATCGGTTTTATGAGATATTTTTCATGTGACCAATTGCTGCTTGAAACTGTTTGGAAGTTCTTCAGATGCACTACACTTTTTGTTCCCTGTCTGTGAGCAATTAAAGGTTATTAGTTTCCTTACGCCCCCCCCTTACATTAAGGATTTGCACATTTATGCACCCTCCCATATTCTACCCATGTATTCAGCTGTTAACAAATGTTCCTATCAACATCGTCTGAACTATCCTATTCAGGGTAGATAGCCATCCTAATATACTTAGTCATAATAAAGCCATAATAAATCAAATTAAAGCACATTACATAAATTACCATTAGTAGATATGGTGCCTACACTATATACACGTGCCTTTCTTCCAGATGGAAAGCTTTTTTCTGACAAACATACACAAGGTTGTCAGATTTTATGGAGGATTGTTTTTAAAAGCTTATACAAAATAGGAAGCAAAATGAACAACTGTGGAGAAAACATTCAGAGCTGACTCATGCTCTCTACATTTAAAGGCAACATTAATGAATTACAATTAATGAATGGTAAATAATGCACACTCACACAAGTTGTTCATCAAGTATAATTTGCACTTGCTGTTTGAATAAAAATAGAACACAGGTCATGTGAAATGTATGCACCTGTACGAATACCAAGAACAGTTCCTAATTTGTTCTATTTGTTTTTTGGAATGTATCTGTTGCATTTTGGTACAGTTATTTAAAACAGAATACAATACAAAATCATAATTACAATGTACTAGAAACAATGCAAATAAACATTATTACCGAAGTGTTTCTTTCTGCTGTATGAGTTGCCTACTTTTGCAAGACAACTAATGTTATACATAGAACACTTACAAGTGGTTCACTGGAGTCTTGGATAAAAACAAATGAATTGCCTCCAGGCTAAAAGAAAAAACAACAACAGATGATTAATATTACTATGAGAAACTATACACAATTGTGAAACAGACAGAATATTAATTTAAAAAACATGGGTGGGTAAACTACTCATGTCCTACAAGAAACAAAACTAATTAAGAACAAGCTATCTAAAATATCTGACAACGAACAAATCTTTTTCCACAGCAAAATTTATTTCTTTATTTCTTTTATTTACTTATATCCCGCCTATCTGGTCAATCATGACCACTCTTAGAAAATCTTAGAATAAATCATCTCATATTGTTCAGGGTTACTTTAGAAGCAAACTCAGAGTACTGATCAACACCATAAATTTTATGGACCACCTTATCACTTTGAATAAACTTTTTAGTGGTTTGTCATATCATCTGACATGGTAATGTCACTGGGCCTTCTGAATGTTTTTTCTTCGCATTGCAAAGAAACATGTTTTGAAACAACCCACTCCTTGAGAAATCTAATCTGGCCACAGTGACATACGTCTTAGTCATGTCTCATTAGGAAATAGGCTGCCTTTGGAAAGCATTTGGAAACTTCAGCAGATCCAGAATGCCACAGCTAGACTCCTGACCTGAGCCTGGCACAGGGAGAATGGAAATTCCTTGTTATAATAGTTACATTGGCTACCAGTCTGTTTCCAGGTGAAACTTAAAGTGATGGCCTTAATCTATAAAACTAAATAACTTGAATCTAGGCTGTTTGGGGGACCATATCTCCCCATGTTAGCCTCTTGGACTTACAGATCTTTAGGAGTAGCCTTTCTTTTGGCCCCACCACACTCAAAGACATGCTTAATTTAGACACGGGAGATGCTCTTTTTGGTGGCTGCTCTGAGACTATGGAACTCGCCTCCATGTCTTTCTACTGGGAGGCAAAAACTTCCTTTTCAGGTAGGCTTTTAATATATAGATGCTGATAAGGAAGGGATTTTGAGGAGAAGGACTTTTCATTTATCTTTTTAAATATGTTTTTTAACTTGTTATAACAGGGTTTTATTTATGTGTTTCAATAATATGTTTAATTATTTTAATACTGTGATATTTTAAATCATTTATAATTGTTTTAATATCTGTAAGCTGCCTCTGAAATATTGATCTATAATAATAATAATAATTGTGTGCTGTCAAGTGGAGTCTGACTTATGGTGACCCTTTTCAGGGTTTTCTAGGTAGAGATTACTCTGAAGTGGTTTACCATTCTCTCCTTCTGTGGGCACCCTGGGACTGTAAAGGCTAGTTCTACTCCTACTCGCAGGGGGTACAGTAGGGAACCTCTGTCTATGCAGCCAGATAACTAAACCACTGAGCTATCCAACCTACAAATAAATCAAATGAACAAACCTTTGTATTGAACTAAGTATATTGAATAGTACAAATACACTACGCAGAAATCCTTTTTTCAAAAAAGCTTAACAGGTTGGCTTTAAAAAGGTAGATCTGTAAATTCATTCCTTTCACATTACCAAATTTTTTGCAGAAGGTAAGTTAATGAGTCAAGGGAGTGGAACAGACTGGGCTATTGCTAAATAAGTTAAAAATATAGACATTATAAAATTGGAAAGAAGGAATTGAGAGACTGGTATGAAACATACTAACTCCAACTAGTTTTTGTACTCTGGAACTTTCAAAGACACAAACCAATGGTTCCCAAGCTGAGCTGCCAGGTGTTATTGGAGTACAATTCTCGGAATCCTGGACCACTACCAATGTCGGCTGTGGGCTTCCTGGAGTTAAATACAACATATGCACACCCAGGTTTGAACACCACCAATACTGTATGAACAACACTTATGTTTTTAAATGCTCCAGGGCATGAAAATGGGACCTGATACCTTTATACATGATTGCAAAGAAAACTGCAACCCAAACCTTGAAGACAACTGGATATGCAAAAACTTTTAAATGATTATCCAGAACTGCTCAGTGGTTTAGGTGTATCTGTGATGACTCTTAGTCATCCAGGTGAGGTTATCTGGAAGTTGAGTCATAGCAACTGGATTTCTTTCTTATTAGGTTGAAATGTTTCACTACTTATCCAAGTACAGTGATGCCTCGCAAGACGAAATTAATTCGTTCCGCGAGATGTGCCGTATTGCGAAAATTTCATCTTGCGAAGCCGTTCCGCGAGACGTGCCGTATTGCGAAAATGTCATCTTGCGAAGCACAATACTAATGGTTGTGCGATTTAAAACAAACATCAAAAAGGAAAAAAAATGTCTTGTGAAGCACGGCCAAGGGGGAAAATGTCTTGTGAAGCACGGCCATAGAAAAATTCGTCTTGCGAGTCACCAAAAATAAATAAATCTCAAAATGCTTTCATCATGCGAGTTTTTCATTGCGTGAGGCATGTGTCTTGTGAGGCACCACTGTAACTTCTTCAGTCTAAGGAGAGTTGCCATGACTCAGTTTCCAGATACATCACTGTAACTTCTTCAGTCTGAGGAGAGTTGCCATGACTCAGTTTCCAGATGGTTTAGGTATGTGGCTGTAGAGTGAGAAGTTAGGAGCTCGGTTCCCCACTGTGCTTCCTTGACAGGGGCTGGACTTAAGGATACATAGGCTCCCTTCCAGCTCTGCAGTTCTAAGATGATGATGATTAATTGCATGCAAACCTTCTACATGTTAAGTGCTTGGGCCATTTCCATTACAGCATACGTTTTATAAAAGAATCGACCAGCAGCCATTTACCTCTGGAAAGAAAGTCCTAAGAACGAAGTGTTTGTAGTCAAGGAAGGGAACTGTTCCAAAACTATTGACCACATCCAGTTTTTCCATCTGCAGTTCTACAAATCCTGCAAGAAAGAAAGATCCCCTGGAGTGCTCATCTTATAATATAACACTGTCTTAATTACAACTTTCACTGTGATCCTAGAAAGCTGTTATCAGAGAAAGTTCTTACAACAGACATCTCCTCTCTCTCTCTCTCTTTCTTTTTTAAAGGATCTGATACACTGGTTACACATTTTTTTTTAGTATGCAGTTTTCTAGAAGCCAGTTGTGGCATGCAATGCAAGGTAACAAAGAAGATGGACAGATGGGAAAATGGTATCTGCCACTGAGTGATGACAATAAAATATAGGGCCCTATCACTTATGCCACTGAATGTTGTAAAACAGAAAATGGGAGACTGATAATCTGGCAACCACATATGCAACTCAGGCTGATGATATTACTGGCCTATGCTCACATATACACTGCCAGGTACTAACTAGCAGCTGCATGCCATCATGGTGCTTACCCATCTACTCCCTATCTTTTGCATCACTTTGTAACACCTCTTTGTTACGTTGGGAACCCCTCCCCCGCTACTGGTCTGTATTAATTGATGGCACATAATTACTCCCACCTCCTTAGCCTCACTGATCATCTTGAATATATCACTTTTTGTTACACTAATTGAGAATAATGCTATTTAATAGGAATTTTTGTACTTTATTGTACTTTATAGGAATGTACTGAATGGAAATCAACACATATATTTAAAAAGGATAGAACTATCTTACATTAATGCCTGCTTATCAATCACAGACAATAAATCTAGTGATACCCACCTTCACGTATTTCTCTACGAATGTCACATTCCAATAGCTCTAGTTGTTCACTTAGTTTTCGATTTAACTGTCTGGATTTTCTTTGGGTAACAAGAACTGCAACTTTAAAAGGTGTTAGTATATCATTAATTGATACATAAGAACATGGTACTTAATTACCTAACCCATTGTAGCAAAGAAAGAAAGAAAGGGGGTAAAGAAAAAGAAAAGGAATCGAAAAAACAGGAGTCAATAAAAATTTTACAATAGCTTTTTTGCAGACTAATCAAGTTCTCTTCCAAAGTGGATCATATTTATAACAACCCCATTTGGTTACCTTCAGATGTTTTGGACCTCCACTCCTATTGGCCCTTAACAGGATAGCCAAGAACCACTAGTGCTGGAAGATCTGGTCCAAAATATCTGGAGGACTTTGGCTGGGTAAAGGCTGATCGACTTTTTAACACCTGGAGGAATTAAAAACTGAGAAACAGGAAATGGACCAAAGATAACATTTAACACTGTGTGGGTGGACTGCTTGCATCATGAAGATTTCCATTTCCCTCCTCCCCCATTGCAGTCCCCACACTCCTGAAATCTGCTTCAGGGTATTTCTCTGGCCTCCAGATCAGACACAGGTGGAATGCAGTGAGCTGCATGGGGAAGAATATCTAAGCACCAACAAAAGCCATTCTATTTTTCTTATGGAGCCCACATATCTACTAATGATATATTTTGCATGCAGGTTTCAGCTTCAATCTCTGCAAAATTTCAGAAGGCATACTTAGAAAATGGTTCTTGGAGACAATGGCTTTGCCCATTATTTGAGACAGGATAGAACTACATGGAAGGGACGTGGTGGCGCTGCGGGTTAAACCGCAGAAGCCTGTGCTGCAGAGTCAGAAGACCAAGCAGTCGTAAGATCGAATCCACGAGACGGAGTGAGCTCCCGTCGCTTGTCCCAGCTCCCGCCAACCTAGCGGTTTGAAAGCATGCAAATGCAAGTAGATCAATAGGGACCACTTTGGTGGGAAGGTAACAGCGTTCCGTGTCTAAGTCGCATTGGCCATGTGACCACGGAAGATTGTCTTCAGACAAACGCTGGCTCTATGGCTTGGAAACGGGGATGAGCACCGCCCCTAGAGTCGAACACGACTGGACAAAAATTGTCAAGGGGAACCTTTACCTTTACCTTAGAACTACATGGAGCAATAATTTGATCCACTAAAAGCAGGATCTTCTCCAGATGTAAACAGGCCTTGGTCAAATGTTCTCAGATAGCTATCTTTCTTTATTAGTGGGTCCCAATGGTCCTACCTTATCATGGTGGAGGGTAGGCATATTCTTTTTAATAACTACCAGCAGAGAAAACTCCCACCTTGTGTTCCAGTTCAGAGGGTGAGGGAAGCAGGGAAGCCCCAAGGAATTGGGTTATTCTGCAGCAGAATTATTCCCAGACTCTTCACAACTGGATTGGAACTGCCTGTGAGGCAACTTTGTCCCTTGGACCAACTTAGGAATAGGAAAGTCCCAAGAGTCCAGTTTACAGTTCCTCCTCATGGGGCAGAGGAAAAATCAAGAAGTCTTTACACATCCATTTTGTGGTTAGTTGGGGGTAGTGCAAAACACTACAGCAAGGCACTGTACCTTATTTTAATGCAAGCTCACACCTCCCAGGAGAGGAAATGGATTCCTCCCCATTTTTTCAATGGGAAATATTGAGGAAAGTGAGGGAAGGATGTGGCCCCACAAAAACAGCCTTGAGGTCACACACAGGCTAGGAGTTGCACACTTCCCGCTCCTGATCTAGCCTCACTAGTGTTCAATACAGACACTGTTTTTAAACACAAGAACTACAGACACCCATGCTGCTACTTACCTACGATTACTACAGGGATTAGCAAAAGAACGTATAGAAATGAATAGTTGCGTGGTTTTTGCAGAACTTCAAGCTCAAAGTTTCCCACCTTAACCTAGTGGATAAATAAGACATCAAATTACTAGAAAGGAGTTTCTACATTTGCAGCAGACAATGGCCTGTAAACAAACAGGCATTTATAAATATAAAAGGAAGCAGAAAAAAATTTATTGATTCCTTATCTAATGGTAACTCAAAAAGAGAGAAGCAAAGTAATGGTTGATAAAAATTAAATCAGTGAAAAGTTACCATACAGTATTTTGCCAAAACTTCCACCTTTGGAAATACACAGTACAAAGAAAGAGATAAAAATAGAAGTAACTAAAAGAATAATTATTCATACTGTATGTGGTGTCATAGGATGTGCAGTGTGCACCCAAACAGAGCTTCCCTAAGAATCAAACACCTGATATTTATCCATTTTATCTACCCAGGTGTTTAAAGGATTGTGTGGGTTTTCACTTTCACTGTGGTATTGCTTGCTCGCTTTACTTGGTTTATATTTTCATTGCTGTACTGTTAAAAACTACCCTGATAGCTAGTTTAAGGAATGATGGTATGTATATCTTTTAAATAAATAAAAGGATACAAAAAAAGCAAAGGTTGACTTAAATCGAGAGTCTTAAATTATTTTTATAGAAATGACTAAACAGGTATAGTCAACATATTCAACCCATCAGCCTGAAGACAGACCTGATGGCTTTGCACACACAGTCCACAGCCTGCAGGTTCAGCAGAAGGCAATTTGAAGGCTTGAAAATCAGAAACATGATAATATAATGTGGTCTGAACCTAAGGGCACCACTTATTTGTTAAATTCAATTTGATAAGCCCATCGGTAATAAGACAGAATTGGCAAAATCCTGTTGGACTGTAGCTGCTCTATTTTTTAAATTAAAAATTACCCCCTCCCTTGCTGTAGGTGGTTTTTTTTTTAAAGCCAGGTCATCACAACCAAAAGAGTAGTTGGAAAAAAAGTTATCTGAGGTTTCTTTCTTTTGTGATGTGCTGTCAAGTCACATCTGAGTTATGAGGATTTTAACAGAGTTTTCAAGGTATGTGAAATATTTAAGGAATATGTTTCATCACTGCTACCCATTAACAAGTTTCATTGTTCAGTGGGGATTGTGAACCCAAGTTTTTGGACTCCTAGTTCATCACTCTATTTACTGTACTATACTGGCTCTGTGAGTTATGGGAGGCCCATGTCATTTTTGATTCTGTCAATTTCAAATATTTCTATCCATCTTTGCTTTATGAAAAATTTCCTCTCACAGATGCACTTAAATATTGATTTTTTAAATGTAGGTTTTCTTTCAAATTAAAAATACCTGTTTGACTTGTTTAATCTGCTTAGAATGGCATCAACATTCTGAAATCCAGGGAATTGTTAATTTCCTATCTAGATATTAGTCCAAAAGTTGTGATTAGGTTGTTTGTGGGGTTTTTTTTTAACAAAGGGATTCAACAAGAAGTGAATTTATTTAGTATTTCTACCACGAATGCACACTGCCAATGTCCTCCTTCTAAAAAAAAAAATCTGTCTTTTAACATATCAGTGAATTGATCATTCATATGTCATCTTTACAGCTCCCCACTCTGTTCCTATTGCTTCAATCTTCCCCTCTTCTCTGGCTAGAAAGCAAAAGTCCCCGAGAACTGGACATTCAATATAGAAGCTGATTAACTTAAAATTGTATTGAACACAAACACATAAAAACTGTGTAGACCAATATAAGGCCAATACTAAAAGCATTCTAGTAGTGTGTGCTGAAGACAAAAGAAGAAAAGAGTTACATTTAACTGTAGCATTCCTTTCTAAGCTGCTGTGCCTCTAAGCATGAATTACTGGGTTCCTATTTATAGAAGCCACACAGAGAAGGAAAAAAGCTCACAGTGGAATCTAATAAAAGAACAAACAGTATAACTCGTGATCTGAGTTTAACCCATTAGACCAATCTGAAATACCAGCATGAAGAAAGATAAAATTCATTCTGTGTTTGCCATAAATGACCTTGGATACAAAATTAACAGAAGCACAATAAAAAAAACTCAATTGATTTCCCCATAATTTAGTAAGATGCTTTGTTCTTCTACAGATGTAGAAGACTTCTGCAATTGCTAATTTCAAATTAGCCAATACTAATTGTAGTTAGCAATACATGATTCTACTGTAGCACAGACCCACACTACAGGAATTGTCTTTTCTGTAATGTGGGACTATATTACAGTGCAATTGTATACATTAGGTCAGAATATGGAGAGACAGAATATATTCTTAGAGGCAAGAGACAAGGATTCATTTTATTCCCTTATCTATTTAATCTGTGTACAGAGAATATCATATGGAAAACCTATGTCCTCCTGCTGACCAAAATATCCCTAAGAATTGAAGGAGGAGTGAAAATTGGTGGAAGAATCATCAATAATTTAAGATATGTAGATGATGCTATCTTACGGGCAAAAAGCAGCAGACTTGAAACGACTTTCAGTGAAAGTAAGAGAAGAAAGTGGTAAAGCAAAACTACAGTTGAACATTAAGAATGACTACTGAATGTTGACAATGGAGAAATTCAAATTGTTAAAGATTTTGTCTACCTTAGTTTCATCATCAATCTAGCTAAGATTGCAGCCAAGAAATCAGAAGACTGAAACTTGGAAGGGCAGCAGTGAAGGTGTTAGAAAAGATCAAGTTGAAGGATGTGTCACTGGAAACCAAGACCATACATCCATACACTTGCATTTCTGATCACCATGTATGAAATGACTGGACAGTGCATAATAAGAGATACACAGAACAGTTTTCCTAATGAAGATATTTGAAATATTGAAATAATTCCTGCATTATAACTGTACCATAATTGACATTGCTTGTTAACTACCTCCTCCCAGCCCAGGTAGCCTGTGCCCTCCTGATGGCCAAAATATCACTAAAAAACTAGCCATGTTGATACAATTGTTTTAAAAAGAGAGGATCAAGGCAAGAAAATTATGTCTTGAGAAATATTTTCTGCAGAACTCAGGTGTGGCTCAACAGATTACAGAGGATGCACAGTTGCTAATATTTTGAAGCTGCAACAAAGGCCTCCCATACAGTGGAATTGACACATTTCTCTTTATGGCAGGGATAGTGCATAAACTGTAGCTGGAACACTGCAAGGCCCAGAACAGTCCCATCCTTTTTGATACCCCCAGTTAAATCTATCACCACCGGCACTCCCATCCCCTAACTGATTTCACTGAGATTAGAGATGGGATATTTGCATTCATATCCTGAGGGAGACGAATATAAATATTGCCACCACAGGGGGCCAGGCCCTTTGGACCCACCCCCCCAGAACCAACTGGCCCACTTACTCCTCATAGCACAGCTGTCGTAGTTTGTGCTGTGTCAATTGCAGAAGTAGCCTGGCTGGTGCTTCCCTGCCTCCCTGCGCTGCTGACCACTCAGCAGCTGAGTGGGGAGAAGCGTCGTCCCACCTCCTCACTGAGTTCCAGAGAGATGAATATAAATATCCCATCTCTAACCGAGATTACTCTTGGCCCACTGAAGCTACCTGAGCTCAGTTTGTATCAGGATTGATTGGCGGAGGGAGCGGAAAAATATCTTCCATTCCCAGTCATGGAAGAGGATCACTGAAGTGCGCATTTTTCCCTGACTCCCAAGATAGCATCAACCTTGGCTCTTGGGGAAAAACAAAACAAAACAAAACACTATTTGGATTTAACAGAAGATGCTACAGAGGAGTCCTTGAATATATCACTTTAGAACAAGTCCAAATGAATATGAATAACATGAATTACAATGTTTCTTTGATACAGTTCAGACAATGCACTTGTCTGGTTCGGACAATAACACTAAACTGTGGTTAGTCTTCATAGCTATGCAGGGGAAAGGGAGAAAGAGCAGCAAATCTTGTGTCATGCTTCAGCCTGGGTCCCATAATTATAGCGTATTATTACCCCTGAACATGAATGAAACAATCATAATCCCTTACATACTACAGAAACAGAAACTTTTTTCTCAAACATGCACAGATTAAAAAAAACAGACACACCCTCCTGTTCTTTGCTGCCTCTGGTTTTTATATCATTTTTGGAAACAGTAAAGAACACTATGTAATTTCTTCATGAAATCCAGGAATAGCCCTACAGCATGGAGGGCCGATGAATATGAGGGGAGACAAGTATAAGTTAGCTGATCATAACGTTGGACTTTTTCTAGTCAGACCATACAACATGTGGCTGGAGCAGTTAGACTATGGAAAGGTCACAGCTGTGAAATACAACTCACAGCTTCACAGTAATGTTAATGTTCAGTTGATAAATCACATATACAAAAAAGTTCATAAAATTTTTACTCACATAAACTTTCACACTAGATTTATCAATTTTGCTAGCAAAACTCTCTTCCCGTTTGGCTCTGCCACGTATAACGTTGTAGGTTGTAGTGTTTGTAATATTTTGGACAGTGAAAGTTGTATTTATCCGTTTCATACTAACTTCATGAGATAGAAAAATTTCTATCTCATTTCCAACAATATTTAATTTATCCTTTCTTTTCTGGAAATAAACAAAAAAAAAACCACACACAATAAAATGCAAAACATAGCAAACATGGAGAAAATGCAAATGATGTGGATGTTTTAAAAATATTATTTTAGTGTTTCTTTTTCAAAAACTCACATTTATTTTTAACTCCAAGTCATGCTCTAAATCAGTTGTCAACTCGTAGAAATCAAATGCAGGATCCGGATGATATTGCAGATCATTGCAATGTATATGTCTATTCTCAATATTTAGCACAATGTTAGCAACTCTACTCCCTTTTTCAGGTTTAATAGCTGGTGTTGTAAAATTGCATTCAGAACTACTGCTGTGACATGTAAATTGCTAAAAATGAAAAAATGCAAAACAATATTGAGCAAATTATCAAGTAAGGTAACATTTATTCAGTAGGCATAGTTAAGATGTTGTTAACAGTTTAATATTTGGTATGTCATCTATTTGGGGACTATATATTAAATGGATTTTTGGCACTGGGAGATGGAATAGGGGTTTGCTCTGTCCACTCCACACATTGATGTGGTATTGCATAATCTCCAGAATGGTGCACTTCCCCTTTGGGTATATTGTAGTTATTGTATTGTGTGAATTGTAATTATTTCACCAAATGGGTTTCAAAATATCCAGAAAGTACTCACATTAATACGGTGGTACAGAATTTGAAATAAGGAAGGAAGGAACTACAGCCAGTATTGCTTTGGCTTCAATTCTGTATGCAATTGAGCTATTTAAATCCTACTGATTTTACTGTGTGTATGCACATGTGTGTTCTATCCTGTCAAGCTGGAACTGATGTATTTCGACCCTAAGAGGTAAGTGAGATATTTAAGGAATGGTTTCCATGGCCAAGTGGGGATTCGAATCCTATTCTCCAGAGCCCCAATACATTGCTATATTCAGTACACTATACTGGGAATCTGATTTCGCTTAGCACTTACACTTATTTAATAATAATAAATAAATGTATAAAGCACAGAGGTCTTTTAGACACTTAAGCTGGAGTGCTCAGAGTACTTATACCTACAGTAATTTTATTGATTTCTACTAAGTAAGCAGTCTACATGCAGTACATTTGATGGCAAAGCTGCTGAAAAAGAGTGGGTTCAATCTAGTAGTAAGCCAAAATTGGAGAAGAACCATTGAATCAATAGCATATAGTTGACTCACCAAATCCCCACTGATTCAATGGGTCTACTGTAGCAGTGACTTGCTACTAGAAAAAGTACAGAAGGCAGTTACTGTATAGGCTGTCCAAGGAGTTGCACAAAGTCCTACTAGAATGATTACCATAGCTGGTGTGAAAAACATCCAATATATATATAATGAAGTTGTAATGATTTGTGAAGGCACTTGTGCACTCAAAAATGAAAATAGGGGTTTCCTCAGGCTACAAAAGCTTTATGCGAGCAGAATGCACTATCTCCTGGCAGAACTATGAGGTACCGTATATATTATTATGTATGTATGTAGAAATAGGACACATGATATGAGTGCTCAGAACCTTGCCTAGAATGCATCAAAAGAAAATTAATTTCTTAGAACTACTTTCAATCTACAGTATCTGGTTACATGAGCAACAAAACAAAACAAACCGCACCATAATTTGGAAATTTGTTTTTAAAATGATTTTTAAAAATAGTTTTTTTTAAGGTAGATTTTTTAAAGTAATTAATTCCAATCATGCGGTGTTAAAAAATTTAACCTATTCTATTTACATTGCTTCAAAGAAATTGTTGCGTTACTCATTACTTTTCTGACACTTTTCCATTACCTATTTGAATTTTTTATTATGGCTAGAGGAATTATATAAAACCTGAAAATTCCACATAAAATGCGTCTTAAAATGCCCTTTAAATATTAAATAAAAGGTAACTAGAACATGTTCCTGGTTACAGATACACTGACTTTCCTGCTTATTATATAACTTTTTGAATGTGATCTTGCTATGCCCTTGGTAACGTGATGCACATTGTTATTTTTAACTCATTACTACCAAACTTGCCAACATATTGCCACAATATTACTTTCAAGCCACTTAAATGCTGGAAGATTTTGACAAAACAAAGCATACAATACTTACTGTCAAACTGTGTTTCAATTCATCAAAAATAATAATTGAATCTGTGATATTCAAATACTTTCCATGTATAGTTATGTTGCGACCTCCACTGTGCCAAGAGAGAGATTTAAAGTTGGCATTTCTTTACAAATAAACATATAATTGGCAATATTTTTGTATAATTTGTCACAGCTAATTGCAGTTAATTGATGAGGTGAAGGGGCATGTCTCAATTGTGTGCCTAATTATGTGGCCAACTACGCAACCCAGATACATTCCAGCACCATGCCAATGAACTACGGTTGTGGTAAATTATGCAAAACTTATGCAAATACTAAGAGCATATTTCTAGCATGTTCTTCTGTTTTACTCTGAGCTGCCAACAACATATATCCAAACCAATAACAGCAAAATGCATTGCTACTAAAAAAAAATAGCAACAGAATAATAAAGTAACAAATAATATGTGCATTATAGGTAAAAGCAAAATACAAATAAAAAGTAAAAAAACACAAAAATGTGCTGGCACTTTAAAGACTACCTTTTTAAGGTGAGCTTTTGTGGACAAGTCTACTTCATCAAACATCAGACATTCATAAAAGATGAAATGTAAAAAGCAGCAACAAGACTTAATATTGCATAATAAAAGCATTTTGGAATTACTGTGCTTCAATTTCTAGCGAAAATTAAAAAGAAAGAAGATGACTTAAGACAAGAAACATGAGTGACCTTGACGGAGAGGAAGTTCTAGTGCAATGGCACTGCAGTGTTTTCCATGCTCACCCAATAGATATCTTGGAGAAAAGCGGAGGAAAATTCCTTTTTTGGATGATAACTACCAGGATCCCTGAGCCAGCATAGCCGCTGATCCTTATTGGCTGGGGATTCTGGGAGCTACAGTCCAAAAACAAAACGAAATACCTGTCCAAGCAATGCTTAGAAGACCATCAAGAGGAGAGACTCTGACAGTGATCTTGGTGTAAAGAATCCTCCTGTTCGAAGCAGAGGCTTGGCAGTCTAAAGTTGGAAGAACCATTAAAGGCAATAACATGATGCTTCCATAGTATTAAACTGGACAGTTTTATATTCATATACAGTAAATAATAATAATAATGTGCCACCAAGTCACTTTTGAGTTATACCAATCCTTTTCAGGGTTTTCTATGTATACTCAGAAGTGGTTTACCGTTCCCTTCTTCTGGGGAGAACCTGAGATTGTGCAGCTTGCCGAAGGCCACACAGGCCTGGGGAGATTCGAATTCCCAATCAATGGCTCTGCTGCCAAATATTAAGCTCACAGAATTTATTTATTTATTAAGAAAAATAAAATAATTTGGAGATTACCTTGCCCATGAAATATTTGGAACTATTTCATAACACACTGGGAGAGAGACATAACGTAGTAGCATAGGATGTGAACATTTAAATCCCTTTTCCTTTATGCATATACTCTTGGTTTCTTTGAGACTTGGCGGTAAACAGAATTTCATATGTGTCCGATTTAGCACCTCCGTGACTGATATCCTGGGAAAAGAAGACAAAGTCACTTAAAACAAAAAGTACAATTCTTTCCCATGTACTTCAGTGCTGTTGACGTGAAAACTCTAATTTGTGGAGCATGTCTTAATGCAAGTTTAAATAAACACCTGCTGTTTCTTAAGAAAGGTTTATGAAGTGCTAATACAAAACACTTCTCTGTTTGCTGCACTTATCCTACTTCTGCATCAAGTTCCCAACTTCCAAAACCCCAGAAAAATGAACCAGAATATGGCTCCCCACCCTACCTTCATTTTGTTTTGTTTTGCTAAGTGACATTAAGACAGAGTTTCCTGGCAGGGACAGAACAGGAAGCTGTGTTTGGACAAGACATGAGCTTCACACTGAAATGGATGTGTGACAGAAGCAGAAGATCAAGAGGAGGAGTCCTCAGCTCCACTCTTAGTTTACAAAGTCTTACCTAATGATCGTGCAAACTGAATTTATAGAACTCAACATTTACTTCATTGAAAGCTCATCTTGCCAGTGTGATTTAGAAAATGAGATGAACCATTTTAAAAATTCAGGGTACAATGTATTTAAGTTTTGCTTTGAACTCTGTTTACAGATGTGGAGTTTTTTAAAAAATAGTGTAAGGCATTTTAGTACTACCAATTAAAACGAGATTAGAGAGTCTCTATTCCAGTGAGAAACAAGAAAACAACCTGAAACAATGCCTCTTCTCTAAAAGAGACAGAAGGAGCTCTCACTATGCTTTTTATGTTTTTCAGGGGGCATTAATATTTGACCTCATGTACATAATCATGTTCTTTCCAAGACTGTTTGATCCTTAAAATTAAGGATGACCAAGGAATTCTTTTTTGGATAGAATGCCACAAATATCAAAGAATAGTGCTTACTGAAGGAATATAAAATATAAAGGAGATGAGCTAGGAGCATGGTGTCAAACCTGAAAGTTATTCATCTTATGAAAAAAGAACATGAATAACTAGCTGTACATATTCATTATATTTCTGAATATAATTATATTTCTGAATATATATCTGAACTAAAGCTTAAAATATGATTTTTTTTTCAAGCTCTGATCTGAACTACACTCTTCCAAAGACATTCTATCCAACGTAAAAATCAAAAATATATAGGAGTAAATCCTAATCCCTGTCATTTCTAAAGTTGTGATTTGAGGAGCAATGCAACAAATAACAGCATCAGAACCAAATTTAAGTTTCAGGGCAACATGTATGAGCATATTTAAATCACCAAACATTTTTCTGATTAAGACACAATATACAGTAATGCAAAACAGAAAACCTTTGATTGTTTGACTCACTCATCTGGTTCACAGCTGCTAGTTCCAGTTATTTCCATCACAATGTTTGATCCTGTAAAGTTTTCTCCTTCTATTAAAACTTCACTTTTCCCTAATGTTGATATCCACGCTGGTTTAACAGAAGAAATTTTCATGGGCTGTTAGAAACAAAATAAAACTAGACTTAAATATCCAGCTTATAGAATTAAATAAAATGATGGAACCATATATTCACTAACATCTTTACAACACATTTTGCTATTAACAGATGACTACTAATTTTTTTTGTAATAGGTTAGAAAAGCACATTATGCAGTACTCAATAATTTTGATTGATTTTCAGTAAAAAGATACATTAGAGAAACAAGGAAATAACAAAACTCATAAAATATAAGACATATGAACCCATGAATATTTCAGATTAATGTTTCTGATGAGTCATAATGATGATGCAATAATGTTGTGATAGGTTTGGTTCTTTTTTTCTCCCCACATGCATCTTTTAAAACAAATATTCTTAATTTACTTGTTAAAAGGGCCCCTTTGATGTTTTTTGGCCTATAGCTCTCATCAGCTTTATTTATTATTTATTTCTGAGTGATCTGACATCTCTATCACCTTTCTACCAATACAAAGATCCAAGGTGGACTACAAAATGATTTTTAAAAAGACAACAACAAACCATAATAAATTTTCATGGGGGCAATGGGTCTATAGCTGGAATGTTTGACAATTCGTCCTCTTAGGCTCCTTATGGAAGCCATAGATGACCCCAACACTTTAAAGGAGAAGCAGCAGTTTGAAATCTTCTGAATGGACAAAGTTGCCATTTCCACCTTTGTAAGCTGAATAGTTTTAAGCATCAGACCTAAGTGTTGAAACTTAAAACCAAAAGTCAGGATTCAAAAAAACTTATATAATTTTTACACTATTGTATTATACCATGCCATACTTTATCCTACCCCACTATACAGTATAATACAGTAAATTACACACAGTGCCACACAATGGCCAAAATCCTGTTGCTAGTCACGCTAGAATAGATCCATTGAATCAACAGAGGTTTAGTGAGTCAACTGTCCATAGGTTCCATTGATTACAATTGGCCTACTTCAACTGCAACTTACTATGCTAAAATAAGTCATAGTTATAGAAAGTCCATTTGAATCAACATAATTTATAGAGGAGTTGGCTCACTTAATAACCAATAGACATACTCTAGTGTGATTTACTAAACTAAGCAACAGGATTTTGCCAATATATGAAATTCTGTTGCTTTGCACAACTACATTAGACCCACTGAAACAGTGGAGAGTGCCATTGATTCAACAGGTCTATTCTATTTGCAACTTACTAAGCTAAGCAACCACTAAAACATAACAGATAGCCTCTTCTATAATTTCAAATTTAAACTGAAACCAGCTGACCTTGGGTGTCTTTGAAGTAACTTTCCAATCTGATGCATTGACTGTCTTGTCACATTCAACCTGAAAATTTGAAAATATTTAAGCCAAAGATGCCATTTATCAAAAAATTTTAAATTACAGGATTTAATTCAAACATTCTATAAAAGTCACACTTGCTCACCCTTTTTTTACAAGTCATCATAGAGACAATACATTTGTTATTTCTGGCATTCCATGTGCAACCAGCACGATCACATTCTGAACATCTAGGAATGAATGAAAACAAAAAAATATGATTGACACAATTTCAACTGCTGAGGTGCAGAAGAGAAAAGTGTGTTGGGCTAGATCTAAAGAAGGAAGGGAGAGTTGCAATTTTACTTTTCACACAAGGTGCTTGCATACAACAAATAATTAATTATTCTTAAATGGGAACTGAATTTATAAACATCAACTCTAACAAAGTTATTTTTTTTAATTTGCAGGAGAACCCAAAAGATAAGAGTCTGATACATTTTATGTGGGAGAGAACAATAATTCATGACAACTGTGCTCCATCAGACCAGAATTCCCTTGAATCCAATTTTCTGCCTCCTCCAGTAGAAAATCAGGTGGTTCAGATCCCTACAAACATGTCACAAAGGCTTCCTCCTGGTTGACGCTTTTGAGAAGAGCACGGAAAAGCAACATTTTGGGCTACAGCTCCTTAGTCCTCCAGGTATAGCATGGCCAGTAGGAGGTAATGGTTGCGGCCTGTACTATAGAGTGACTGCATTCAGTGGCATGATGTCTTTGGATATGGACAAGATGCTCTCTTCAATCAGCCCATTTTTATGCTATTGCTAATATAATAATATCCATGCTGGGGCTGAGAGCCTTACTTTCTGCGAGGGAGGAGACAGACCCTGACAGGCTCCCTTTATTTCCTAGCACAAATATTGTCTTTTTTTCTTAATTCTCAATTTAGCTGCCACCAGTCTCCTAAATATGTGATTTAATTACTTAATCCCTTGGGTTTAAAACCCATCACTTTGCACCTCTCTAAAGAATCCATTTGCTCAGGTAGCATGAAATGAGAGGCTTAGCTTCTGGACTAGTTTAACCAAATGTAGCTCTGTAAGAACAGATCTTCCACACCAGGAGAAGTCTATTCTAAAAGAATAATTTTATTGAAAAGGTAAAAATACTGACAGGAGGGTGAAAAAGCATTTACGTTCCGAAGAATATATTCAAGAGTTTCTGATCAAGGCAATTGACGAGCTACAGACAAATAAGGCTAAGAAATGTTGCTATTTAGCTAGCTAAGGTTCTAACAGGCAAGGATCCATTTCTCACCAGGGGCTATGCTTACATGCAACTCAGAGCCTCGTTCCCTCTCTGCCTTAGAGAGGAGCGCTCCCTTCCCTCTTCTCCTGAACTCCCAGAATCTCGGAACTCCCCACTCACTCTCCCAGTGGCTGGCTTAAAACCATTTCTGCCATGGGGGCTTTAGAATGTACAAGCTTCTAAGAAGAGCTTTTGGAGTGCACGCCTAATTGTTTACCAGAAAAGCTGGTGTGAAGCAGATGGCTTCTGAATTTCAAGGCAGCCCCTCCCTGCCTTTGATATGGCATTTCGTATGGCATCTGTGTGTATCTTTGTAACTTTTATGGCTCATCTCTTCTCTGGTGCTTTCCTAAAGGGATGCACCATGGCCCATTTTACCACAGCTGGAGCAAGAAAATTGCTCATACCCTTTAAGTAAAAATCATATGTCTCATTCTACAAAGGTATAAGCAAAAACCATGGTCTATCCCTCCTTAACATTTAAACTTCCACCATCATTATGATCTCATCAAATACAATTATATAAGATTTAATCCTCTAATACAGTGGTTCTTAACCTTGGGTTACTCAGGTGTTTTTGAACTGCAACTCCCAGAAACCCCAGCCAGCACAGCTAGTGGTGAATGCTTCTGGGAGTTGCAGTCCAAAAACACCTGAGTAACCCAAGGTTAAGAACCACTGCTCTAATACACTTCTGAGTCAAGATGACCTTAGCAAGATTTTTGAGGTATGTGAGATGTTCAAGAACCTATCATTGCTACTACCATCATTTGAGTTTCTGTAACAAATCACAGGTGTGAACCCATGTCTCCTAAATCCTTGTCCAACACTCTACCCACTGCATCACACTAGCTCTCCTAAAATGTTTACAAATGATAAATATTTTTACAAGTCAAACAACTACAACAATATTCCCAGGTTTTATTGAACTTTTCACTACACTGACTTATTCCAGAGTGGCAGGTTTTTAATTCCACATCAGCATTTTGCAACCTAGCTGCACTCTGGAAGATTAGAGTTTCACACATACACAGAACATCAGGCACATATAGAGATCATTGTCTTAGCAGCATGTTGTTTAAAAATAAATATATATCCTCAATCAGTCAGTATTTAAATTTGCCCTAAAAAATCTTTAAGTGCTTTATGTTCCCTGTAACCATCGTCAGTTAACCATCTGCCTGTGGCACTTTGGACTTACTGGAGTTTCCAAATACTTTGCAAAGGCAGCTCCACATATAGCACATTGCAGTCATCCAAGCAGTATATAACGAAGGCTTGTGCCACTGTGGCCAGATCAGACCTCTCCAGGAATGGGTGCAGCTGGTGGACTAGTTTTAACTGTGCAAAGGCACTTCAGGTCACTACTAAGACCTAGATTTTCACCAATAGTACCAGCAAGAACTATTTTGGTTCTGGTAAATGACACATTTTGTTGTTTAGTCGTTTAATGGCCTGTAAAACGTTGAGGAACTAAGAGCAGATACACAAGAACATACACATTTAGGCCCGTATGCCATTCAGTATTTATATGGCTAGTAGCACTCCAACACCTAAGCTGCCGCAACAGTTCTGATCTGGTAGATCACACCACGAGGTCATGAACCACAGTAGCTGCTGGGGTTCTGTGAACATAAACATGGAGCAGGACACTGGCCCAAGTTTGGAAACACCTAAGGAAGTCTGCAAGTAACTCTAACCCAAACCACATAAAATGTTCAGGTCAACTTACGTTTTCTGTAATAAGCATTCATTGAATTCAAATATTTCTGATAAAAGCCAGGAATCAGAAGAAAGTGATATCTGAACTGGAAATAATAAGACCAAAATATTTTATACACTGGGTACAAGCATAAAATAAGAGTATTTCTGAAGCAAGATATAATTAATAATATCAAGTGAGATTAAAAGCTATTTATTTATTTATTTATTTATTTATTTATTTATTTATTTATTTATTTATTTATTTATTTATTTATTTATTGATTTGATTTGATTTGATTTGATTTGATTTCTACCCCACACATCTAGAACAAAGGTCTACCACTGGTTACTTTTGGCTGGAATCTATTCATGTTGGCATTAACTTTCAGCAGTGAATTGCTCCAAGTTAAGAAGTCAGGGCATGCATTTCCTATCATACACCAAGTTGTGTGACTAGTGTGCAACAAGAAACATCTACACCAAATTCTTCACTGGTGGCAATTTGCTGCTGAAAATTATGTTGATGCAATTATACTAGTTGGTGTATCTAACAGAACTCTGTATTTTACATTAGTAATTTATTTATTGCATTTAAACTTTGCTTTTCAGTCAGTACTCGGTCACAGCTAAATCCAGCACAATGATATATATATATAAAAGGGGGCTACATGGGGTTTTCTTTTTGTCCTCTAATGCTTTCCTGAATGCCATCCTCTAGGCACAGAATGCAGTAGAACTGAAAATGCAGAGGGTAGGGCTAGGAGAAAACTTTCCAGTTAACAGCCTAAGTAGAGATTTCCACACACAATGTTAATTAATCAGTGTCAATTGGTGATGCTAGTTAATTTCCTTCATGTACCATCGATTCCCAAAGGTTTTTAAACTAGCTGAATATATGTTAGGCAAATTCTTTAATCTCATTAAACAGGACTGGTGATTCAGAGTTGGATTCAAGTTGTGGATTTTTATCTTCTTGAAACAGATGTCAAACAGTTAAGAACATGTCTCTGATCTTAACGCCTACCCACTAGACAAGAGCTGACAAGGCAAAATGAGGGCTATGTTTCCTTACACTTTAACCACAAACAGAACCCAACTTCTCCTTCCTCCTCACAAGCAACACATCAGGCCAAACAGTTTCAAAGCCCTCTTGTTCAAAGCCAAAGAGATTTCTCATTTCTCTTCAGGAAGCACAGATGCTGAAGAGCAGGCCATGTATAAATCCATCTGTCCTGAGAGGAATGGAAACTTGTTTATTCAACTTGCATCCTTAACATAAGCCTTATTCACTATGTGTGGTGAGCTAAACGGGTGCTGGGGATATGGGGTGCATGTAATTCAACCTCCCATGTTCACACCCTACCCAGATGTCACTCAGCCCTCCATGAGATTAGTAGAAAGGTTTGCAGGGAAATCTGTAAGAGCATTCAGTGTAATTCAGTTACACTTACACGCTCCCCTGCAAACCTTTGTAGTAATCTCATAAAAGGTGTGAGTAGAGAGAGGGATGTGCTCATGGGGCTTAATGCTCATCTCAATCCCCACCACTGTTAGAGCCCTCCGCGCTTTGAAATATAACATCTGAATCGGGCTGTAGTCTTCCCAAATTAGCCACATTCTAGCCATTCAGCCAAGCCACCTTGAGTTTATGTGCTCTGTTGCTGTCTCCTCTGTCACTATAGTTGCAAGAAGTCAAAATGTTTTCATTCCAATTAAACTACATTCCCCCCTTAAATTGTAACAATAGTTTGAAGAAAATAAGACAGGATTATAAACAAGAGTTTGAATTGGGCTTGTTTTCCTAATGTATCGAATGCTACAACTAACTACAATTTGTCTGGGTTCAGATATAATGAAAAAACACTATTAGTTAGAAGTGGATATAAAAGCTTCAGATCTCCTTCCTGAAGTGACATTAAAGAAGAAAAGAAGAACAAGAAGCACAGAAGCCCTAGATTTGAGCTCTTAACATTGAGCTACAGTTTTGCATTAAATACAGATAAGGCCTTGGACAGGAATCTTCATTGCGCTGGGTATTGTAGAACTGCAAATGATGCATTAACTGTTAATGTACACCATGATTCAACAAAAGGTAAAAAGCCATGTAGTCCTTGAACACAAACTGAAGACAAGGGTGGGCGATATCTTTACTATGTCACTAAAATGTCACAGACAGAACCTAGCTTTTAACTCCTACAGGAATCTTCATTGGGCTGGGTATTGTAGAACTGCAAATGATGCAGGAGAAATGCAAAAGTCAAAAAACCATGCCTAGATGAATGAATGAGCAGGTTGATCATTGACTCCTATGCCAGGGCAGTGCATGGTCCCATTCTTCATTCACAATGGATGGGTTATGCAATCCTTTCTTTCTTATCTCTTCTTTCTTGAAGAATATCCTGCTAGTTGAATTAGTTTTGAAGAGCAGATGCAAGGAGCAAGGGACCCTGTGTTTCATCTAGTTCTGCTTTAAAAGATGTAAATCAATCAATCGACCAATCAATCAATCAGGGAGACTGAGAATTCAATTCATTTTTCTTAAATCTGTTAGTGAAATCCTAGTAATTGCGACTCCGGGGCAAAAATGAAAGCAACTTGGTGGCTTCTCCACACCACAAAAACTGATCTGAAAAGCTCAAAAGCATTGCATTGCTCACACAGCATCAGCAAATCTTACAACAACATTACTGCCTTGCAGAATATAATACAGTGTTTCAGTTGAAATTATTTATTAATGGATATGGTTAATAAAGTAGTAACTGCACCAGCTTAGAATACATGGTCACATTTTTGTTGTTGTTTAGTCATTGTGTCACATGCTGTGAGTTGGCTAGAACTGAAATTTTAGTGCACTTCTTTTCTGGAAGACTAGTACAAGGGTGTACTTTATCCCCTTATCTGTTCAAACTGTATACAGAACATATCATATTGATAGTCAGAATGGATTCAGATGAATGAGCAGTGAAAATTGATGGAAGAAATGTAAATAATTTAAGATATGCAGATGACACCATCTTACCGGTAGAAAAGAAAAATGACTTGAAACAACTGTTAAAGAAAGTGAAAGAAGAAAGTGCCAAAAGCATGACTGCAGCTGAACATTAGAGAGACAAAAATCATCACCACTGAAGAACTACAGAACTTGAACACTGACGATGAAGAAACTGAAATACTTATGAGATTTTGTATACCTTAATTCAATCATCAATCCAAATGAAAACTGTAACCAAGAAATCAAAAGAGGACTGAGTCTCAGAAGGGCAGCAATTAAAGAATTAAAGATCATCAAGTTTAAGGATGTGTCACTGGAGACCAAGAGCATCCATACTCCTGTATTTCCAGTCACTATGCATAGGTGTGAAAGCTGTAAAGAAAGCTGACAGGAAAAAAAAATTGATTATTTTGAAATGCAGTGCTGGAGGTGAACTTTGAATATACCCTGGACTGTCAGAAAGATGGACAAGATGGGCCCTAGAGCAAATCAAGCCTGGACTATCACTGGATGCAAAAATGTTGAGGCTGTCTTACTTCGGGCACATCATGAGAAGGCAGAATTCTCTGGAAAAAACAATAATGCTGGGAAAGATCGAAGGAAGCAGGAAAAGAAGAACACCAAATGTGAGATGGATTGAGACTACCTTAAAGAAACTATAGGCTTGAATTTGCAGGAGCTGAGCAGGGCTGAAGACAGGACATTTTGGAGATCACTCATTCATAGGGTCACCCTAGGTCGGAGGCAACTTAACGGCCCATAACAACAACAACAAATGGAAAATAGATAATGAAAACCATGTAAGCAAAATTCGGCAATTTCTCCTTGCCTCCTTGCAATGTATTTTAATAACAGTTGTGGCCAAATAAGGTTTATAATTATCCTTCTTGTGTATGTTTTACATGTCTTGGCCAAATGAAACTTTGGAAATAGAATGGACAATAGTCAGCGTATGGTTATAGTGCATAGAAGACACATATAACAAAACTGCATCTTTGTTCTACATAAATATTTAAAGAGTTATTACGAAATGTTAGAAATAAAGATTTACAACTGCTGTTATATTACTTCCTTCTCACTGAATTCAGCATGTGCATGAAGCCCAAGATGGTATACTTTCAGATCTAACCACATCAGAAGTTAAAGTTCCCTTTACTTCCCATTATAGCCAACAGAGCCGAAATCCTGTTCAGAAAAATGTCCCACCCTCCAGGGCACTGGTACGCAGAAGGAACAGCAAGAGGGAGCAGGAACTTTTGGAAGAAATGGCAGAATCAAAAGGAAATACACCATTTAATCCAAAGAAATATATTGGGTGAAATAAGTAAAACAGTAAGCAAACCTACCTTTATCTATTAGATCTGACCTCTTTAGCTGGCAAGAACAGTTCTTGGTGCCTGGATACTCATTCTTACAAAGATTTTTCTTTGTCTTTTCATTTATCATAGTGCACATGTAACGCCCTTTAGAAAGATCAAAAGAATTTCCAACTGCAGTCACTGAAATCTAGAAGAATGTCAAAATTGGGAATGATAGTAAATTATCTTTAGGTAGACAGACTGGCATAATGTCAAAAAGATTAAAATGTTTAAAAATCCATTGCAACTCTTGCTAGGCTACTTCAAGACTAAATGAATCAAGGTAAACCTTGATAAAATCACACTAGCCCTTTTCTTTCCCTATTCATGAAACATCTCAATATAAAAAAATACAAGTCTACAATAATGCTCACATTCATAATTAAATTAAATTTATACATTTTCATACAAAAAACAAACAAACCCTGATATACAAAACATTATAGTAAGAACTGTTGCAACATAGATAATATATACTATGGAATGAAATAGCCAGAACATTAAATCATTTAGTGATGTGGCAATAGAAAAGAAATTACAATATCAAACCTTCCCCCTAAAAGGTGATATATGAAAATGAAATCCTTTATCGTCTATGCTAACATACCCAAGGCAGTTCAGAAACAGTTAAAAATAAGCACTAGTATCCTATTGGGGATTTACAATGGTTTAAGTGTACTGGGTAAATAACAGCAGCAAATTGAAGCTGATTGACAAATTTCTACTTGCATTCTTGGTCAAACGTCAAGCAACGTAACTGGAACATGACAAGGAATTCAGGCAGCAACTTATGAATTAACAACAATTTCCTGCTGCGATTTGCAGTTACATTTACACCACCAATAACATTCCCAAAAAATCCCCAATAAAATTCTGGTTAAGTAAAATTAAAACCTAAGATATAAAATGAAATACAATTAAATATGCAGCAATATTAACAATCCTAATAGTCCCCTTATTGCCTTGGGCCCCCTTACTGGGAGAAAGGTGGTCTAAAAATAAAACAAACAAATAATAATAGACATAACTTAAAAAACTTAGAAAATCAGGAACTCAGTCAATAGGAACCTGGCATTCCACAATCCAGGAGCTGCCACTGAAAAATCTCTCTTTTGTATCCTCATCAAATGTGCCTATGAAGGTGAAGAGACTGAGAGAATGGTCTCTCATAAAGATCTTAAAACATGGACTAAATCAGACAGCAGGACATAGTTCCTGAGATAGCCCAGACTAAGCTGTAAAGGGGTTTTACAGGTCATAACTAACACATCAAATTGGGTCCAGAAACAGACCAGTAGCAGTGATGCTCTTGTAAAAGTGGACTTCTGTGCTCCCTGTAAATGCTGTAGCACCAGTCAGCAGTTTGGCTACAGCATTTTTAACCTGACAAAGTTTGTAAATACTATTTACAAAAGAAAAGAAAACTAAATAAAAATGTTTTAATAAAACAACAAGAAAAACAAGCCTAAATTGATTTAAGCAGTGAGGCCCTAACAAGATGTCATCTTCAAGACAGAGATCTTACAATGAAAAGGTTACAATATTTCATAACAGAAGAAAAAGAGAAGTGGAATGAAAGCAAGGAGAAAAAAAAATCTAAAAAAAGAAAAATACATTGGCTGCATATTAAAATACATAAGGTTGGCTCGGAACTTAGACCTTATTGCACAACCAGGTAGTTTATTTACTGCATGATGAAAAAAATTAAATGTTACAGTGACAAAAATCCAAGGAGGAATAATTAAAAAGGGAAAAAAGAGGAAGAAAAAGCTTTTGGTGTAACCCAAATATTCATAATGAAAAAGGTTAACATTTTCAGAAGTAAACTTCTATTTTCATATGGCATAATAATCATGACCCCCCCCCAAAAAACCCAACAACCCAGGAATTAGCACAAAAATATGCAAACACAGTAATTGTAATTTGTGAAATCAGTCAGCTAAACATCTTTCTAAGGTAAGGATAGGCAAAGTACAGCGGTGCCTCGACTTACAAATGTCCCAACATACAAACATTTCGAGTTACGAGCAGCTCCAGCTGGAAAATTTTGTTTCTTCTTGCTACTGGAGCTTCGAGTTACAACCAGAAAAAGGCAAGGGAAAAAGGCGGGGAATTCAAAATGCTAACCGTTGGTGGCGAAGAGGCTGCTTCTTTGTAGCTCTTTTGCCCCAGCAGTTAGAGTGTGTGCGATCGGAGGCGGCTTTGGACTTGCCTGGTAAGGTAAGGTGCTGCTTTCTACTTTTTAAAACCTGTTCTGGGTGGGTTTTGTGGTGTGTTTTTGGGCTGTGTGGTGGGATTATGTTTCTATGGTGTGATGGGTCTTGCAGGGTGGTTTTTTGTGTTTTTTCCTCATTTCCAATGGGTCTTGCAGGGTTTGTTTGCTTTCTGCTTTGGTTTTTTTGCATTTCCGAAGGATCTTGCATGGTTTGTTTGCTTCCTCCCCCTCTTTGACTGGAACGGATTAATCACATTTTCGATGGGTCTTGCATGGTTTGTTTGCTTTTTGCTTTGCTTTTTTTGTATTTCTGAAGGGTCTTGCACAGTTTGTTTGCTTTTTTCCCCCTTCCCTTCAGCCAGAACGGATTAATCACGTTTCCGATGAGTCTCACAGTGGGTTTTTTCATTTTTTGGTGATTTTTTTCTTCAGCCGGAATGGATTAATTGCATTTCAATGCATTCCTATGGGAAATGGTGTTTCGACTTATGACCATTTCAGTCATAAGTCATAAATTGAGGCACCACTGTAGAACATGCACCCTTCAAGGGTCTTTTATGTGCCATCGCCAGTAACTTCCAGTCCCACAGTACTCCCTACAAAACTGTTGTTTTATTGTTGTCATCATTGTCTTTATTGTCTAAACTTGTGGGCTGCCAACAATATTTGAGGACAACCTGGTAAATCTGAAGAGGTACCTCAATAAGGCTAACTGTCGGTGTTAATTTGAAAAGGAAACCTTCATCTACCACACTCTTCCTATGCGTTTCCTAAACATCTGTTTTCCTTAAACTTTGATTTATTGTAAAGAAATTAATCTTGTTATTTAAAAGCTTAAGTATTCCTTAAGTTGCTTAGGTCTAGGGGACAGTCTAGCTATATAACGTCTTTCTCAAAGCACCAGCACAAAAGCATGGATGGCTGATGATAAAATCACAGCAGTCATGCTTGTCTAGAACAAGTCAAAGGGATAAACAATCTAAAAACTAGACAATACGTTCTAGTCAGTAAAATTCAATGTATGCAAATTCTATTAATCCATTTGTTAATGCACAGCTGCATAACTTAACTATGTTTATCCTTTTCTATTTTAGTGGCTTTGTACACAAATGAATATAAATAAAATGTAATGATAACATACCTCACCTCTGTGAAGTTCAGAAATGTAGATCTGCAGGCATTTATTGCTTGCATTTGAAATGCTTGTCCAGTTCCCTGAATTATTTGAAAGCAAACATTCTCCTTTTAAGGTGCAGCTGAAACAATCCAAAATACATATGTGACAAACATATAGCAGCATGGTTCTATTGTGTACTTTTTAAGATCTCTAAAATGATTTTTAAATTTTATTTATTTATTTTTATTTATTTAATGTATATGCCACCCACACTTACCCAAAGGTCTCTGGGCGGCTTACACCAATTTGAATTCAATAAAAAGATAAAGAGATAAAAACAATTCAAATACAATTAAAAATACAATGCTCTAAAAATTGCCATCAGGACCCACAATTGATATTATTTCAATTAAAACCACCTGGAACAGGAAGGTTTTGACCTGGTGCTGAAATGTTATCAACATTGGTGGCAGGCAAATCTCACTCGGGATGGCGTTCCATAATCTGGGAGCAGCTGCCGAAAAGGCCTTTTGTCTAAAAGCCATCCCTCTTACTTCCTTAAGGGATGTTTCTTTCAGGACGGCCCCCTGGCTACATCGTAATTGCCGGGTAGGTTCATATGGAATATCTGTTATTGTAAACAGGAATGTGAAGACTCACCACCATTGCTACAAGTGCTGGTGCTAGTACTATTCTGAAACACGAGTTTTGTAGAGGACATATGGTCGTAAAGCTGTGCTTTCTTGACTGGTGAACAGACAGAAGAAATAACCAATATGGAAACAGGATAGAGAGGAATAGCATTAGTTACAAATTAAATTTGTTGTAATGCATGCAGTGCTATTGCACATTCACCTTTCAAACTGCTATGCTTATGTATTGTTTTCATTCTAACACCAAGATTTGAAATTATGGGAGAGGAAGAAGTTGCTTTCAAAATGATCCGTACCAATGTTTCTCATGTTGTTGGACAACTTGATGACATACGGAAAAATCCCAGGTTTGTACTTCTTATGTTCATTTTGAGAATACTGAAGATAGAAGACTTTATTTTCTTGTACAGTTCTATAGTTAAAAATACATGGACAAAATAAATACTCTGAACACTCTTGAATATGAGAGAGTGAGTTTGCTGATTTTTATAAAAGAGCAATTAAGATATGAGCAGTATGTGATTTACAGACAAGAGCTGCATAGAAGGGCAGCTGACTATAAATATGTTTGTCATCTCAATTAATTTCCTCCTTTTCTCCAGAAAATTTGTTTGCCTTAATGACAACATTGACCACAATCACAAGGATGCACAGACAGTAAAGGCAGTGCTTAGGGATTTTTATGAATCAGTGTTTCCCATCCCATCTCAATTTGAACTGCCAAGAGAGTATCGAAACCGGTTTCTTCATACACAGGAGCTTCAGGAACCTATCCAGAAGGACACCATGGTTGATGGTGTCGAAAGGCGCTGAGACGTCCAGGAGTATCAACAGCGTCACACTCCCCCATCTCTCTCCCAGTAAAGGTCATTGTACAGGGAGACCACGGCAGTCTCCATACCAAAGCCTGGCCTGAAACCCAATTGAAACGGATCCAGAAAATCCATTTCATCCAGCAGCACCTGGAGTTGCCCAGCCACAACCCGCTCCAACACTTTGCCCAAATAAGGGAGGTTCACCA